TGAGGTTCTGGAGTGTCTTGCTGTCTACAAAGTTCTAAATGAAACATATATATATATATATATATATATAGAGAGAGAGAGAGAGAGAGAGAGAGAGAGAGAGCTAAATGTTTTTTAAGGGGGGAGGAATGTCACAGTAGAAACTTAGTAGTGATTGTCTAGACAAGCCCTGATCCCCTAGGAAGAGTGGCAGCTTTGAACAGCTGAATGTGGAAGGGCCTGAGGGCCTGTTTGGGAACCAGTTTAGGGGCAGGAGCAGCAAAGGCTCACATGGGGTAGGGGAATCTGAAGACAGTGTAGGGTGGAAAGAACACAGGAGTCAAAAGACCTGCAGCTGCTTGCATCGGGGCCTTCAGTGCATCACTTAACCACTCTGTGTCTCAGTTTCCTTAGCCATGAAAAGGGAAGAGGGTCAGGTGAGAAATCCCTTGATAAACTGAAGCCTGCCTCTGCATGTGGAGTCAGCTGTCATTGCTCAGACCAGCTGGAGTCCAGGCCCATGAACACCCAGCTGTTGAAACATGTTAGGACTGGGGGAAATGTGGGTGCCCTCAGGGCTAGGGCTGCCTGCCTCCCTGAGGACCCCAGGTGAAGCAGTGTGGCCCCCAGCAGGGCTGAAGAGCTGGGGAAGGGCAGGTTTGGGCTGGGAGATGAGTACTCTCTGCTGTCTTGCTCAGAAAGCCCTCCTGCCCTCCTTCACTGCTCCTAGGAGCAGTGGCTTCCTAGAGCATGCTGGGAAGATAGTGGGCTGGAGGAGAGATTCTAGGGTTGACTATAAATTGTGCAAACCATTGCATGGACATCCCTCTTGTGTCTACTATCATATTGGAAGACCCTGAAGATTCCCACTTTGCCTTAGCCTGCTCCCATCCACCCCACATTGCTGGTAGAGGGTTCTGAAAATACTTATCAGCTCCAGGACAGACCCAGGCTCCAGCCTGGTACAACTTGATGTGTAACTTGGGTGGGATTATGTCTTTCTTCTAGGGATCAGTTTGCTCAGAATCTATAACATGGAGTGATCTGTCCCTGCCCTTCCTATACCTGAGGAGACACGGAAATGTGGGGAGGAAAGAGCCCATGCTTTAGAGGCTGGCAGATCTGTGTTCAAATCCTGGTGCTGCTAGTAATCGGGAGCTTTCCCATCTCACCACCTCTATTCCTTAACCAGTGCAGGTGGTAGTGTCTACCCTACAGGGTTATTGCAATAAATTGAGACAAAACAAGTACAAATAGCCAGCACATAGTTTATTGGTTCATTGTCTTTCTTCTCCCACCAAAATGTCAACTCTACAAGGCTGGAATTTGGCCTTGCACTCTACTGTACTCTTGCATCCAGGGTGGCCTCTGGCATCAAGTGGGGGCTCCCTAAATAATCATTGGTTGATTGAATGGATGCCCTGGGCATTCAGTATAGTATAGCTCCCATTGTACAGTAGAGCCTTGGAATCTACAGGTATGTGCTTGCAAGGAGCCTGGCCTTGAAGAAAACCTGCAAATGCTCAAAATGCGTAGCGTTTAAACACAAGCGACGATGATAATGCAGGATTGACTGAGAGCCTCTCTGCAACAACTGAGTTGCATATGACACACATGGGATTTTTTTTTTTTCTGACCATGCTTGGTCAAAACCACATGTAATAAATCACCAATAAGGTGGCTATCCGTAATTCTAAACTGTGCATTGCTAGTTTACGGTTGGTTATTTAGAAAGGAAACTTTGGAAAGCAAGATATAATCTCTAGGGCTGGCACAGTGAGTGGTCATCCATCTTCTAGGTATAGAAGGTGCCAGGGAAGCTGGGCTGATCTAGATCAGGGAACAGGTTCTATGTGCCCATGACAGCCAGCCATGCCTCCTTGTGCCGGCCGGCTATAGCCAGGTGGGAATGCAGACCTAGTTTGCCAGTGCATTGATTTTTTTCAAGAAAAACCAGAAAATCATGGAAAACAATTCGTGTTTTAAAAGAAAAACACAAACGAGAGCATGAAACTTACTTGCAGGCTAGAAAGGGGCCCAATGATGTAGCTCGATCGCCTCTGGCAAGGTGGAGCCAACAATCCCCTGAAATGACCTCCCTCGTCTCTCTAGGCAGTCCTGGTCCCTGAGACCTGGGACGCTGCTTTTGAGAAATGTCGATATGCTATCCAGACCCGAAAGGCCGGGATCACACACAGAAAGGAGAGGGACCACTTCCCTGAGTTCTTGGGCTCAGGGTGGTATCCAGGTTTTGACTCCCAAGGTTAAGGGTAAGTTAGTTCCAAAGTGCCTGATCCTTTGCCAAACAGTTCTCTTCCGTGTGATTCTGAGCACAGCCCTTCATCTGTGGGCCTCATCTAGAAAGTGGTCACCGTGGGCCACAGCCCCATCTACTTCACAGGGAAAATGGGGAGATCAAGGGAGATTAAAGAGATAGGTGTTTCTGAAATGGAAAGTGCTTTACAAGTGCCAGGTGTGGTCATCCTTGTTGTCATTATTATTGTGAGCAAAACACTTTTGCAGAACAGAAGAAGGTTCCTAGGACCCAGACAGACAGACTCTCTAAAGACGTTACAAGCAGGATCTGGATCCAGCAGAGCAGGGAATGTGTGCTCACCAGCTCCAAGACAGACTGTCATGGGACATAGTAGTTTATACAACCTCCCCCAAACCACCTGGTGCTCGGCTCAGTGGGGCCCCAGTCAGGTCAGGCTGGATCTCCCCAGAGAGAAGTTCCTAGTGAAACAGATGAACTCTACATACATAGCCCATGAAATAAAGAAGCTATATAAATAATATAAATATTTTCCCATATATCTTAGCTATATAAATTATTCTCCTTTGTCCTTAAAACTATATATGTGAGGTAGACAAAAATACCCTGTGAGCATCTCAACTCTGCAGAATGAGAGGTTAGTGGTTGTTCCAGCTCCCAGGGGCCCCAAGGGGGCTGTGGTATATCTTCAGGGGTAACTTGAAGAGAAGAGGCTGGGAGAGAGGAGGGTAGGGAAGGAGAGGGCTGAGCAGAGATGACCCGGAAAGCCAGGGGTCCTCAGAGCCTGCCCTGGGTCAGTGACCTGGGATGACAGTGTTAGTGGCCAGCCATGGCCTGAGCTTTCTAAGTTTGCCCTTTATCTTCCCAAACTCCCAACCCTGCTGGCCATAGTCAAGGGCTGATGATATGGTGGTAGATCAAGGTACCCTGGCCCTCAAGTTGCTCCCAAGTCCTTCTTCTGGCCTGTGTGGCCTCTGGTGACCTATGCCCAGAGCTGACCCAGAATGAGGGTCCCAGAGAAGCAAGACACAGCAGACTGGTAGAGAACAAGTCTCCATGCAGTGGGGAAGTAGAAAACACTAGAAAACCAGTCCTCAATCCTTTTTCCTCCTCCTGCCAAACTGTGGGCCTGCTGCTTGGGTCAGCAAAGTCATTCCAGTGAAGGGTCTAAGGTCAGTGAGGTTTCTCATTGGAGTCTCTGCCATCAATGGTCCTTCCAACATCCCTAGCCTGCCCTGAGCCACCAAAGACAGGGTGGCCGCTCCTGGCCAATGGAGGTCTCCACCATGGGATCTTCTTCCTAGGGTTGGCATCGCCGAGGGTGCTGAGTACTGGCTGATTCTGAAGTTTACTGTTTTAGCAACCCTGGGTTCAGGAAGGAAGGAAGCTTACAGGAGGGCGTGGCAAGGATGCCAAGCAGTCAAAGGTTTCCGGAAGGAGGTCACTTCCTCCTGGCTGGCCTTAGGCCCTGCTTCAGGGAAGCACATGCCCTGCCGCAGAGTGACCCCAACAAGGTCTTTGTCCTGCTCCAGAGAGATGCATGCTGCTCCATGGGAAGCCTGCACCTGGCCCAGGCAGCGTGTGTCTGTGTGCATCGTGCGTACTTGCGCACGTGCGCGTTTCTCTCCTTCTTCCACGGGGGCATTGGTAGAAGGAACTGGATCTCAGGAAATAGCAAAGTCACTTCTATTCCAAGGGAGGGGCCGTTAGTAAATGAAGGGGGCCACCAAGGAGCCAGACTTAAATTAGATAAGCAGCTGTGAGGGGAAGAAATGTAGCCAGAATCATGGCTTCTGAGCCCATGGTTCTTTTATATCACCAACACCAGCACCAGCAGGTGCTGGGCCTCACAGCCCAGGAAGACGCCGGCCACAGAGAGTTGGCAGAATACGACTGGGCTGGCTGGCACACTGAGCTTGCAAAGTCCCTCCTGGGCACCAGGATGCTGTCACCCTCCTCCTCTGGACTATCATTATAGGTTCCTTTAGCTACCAAGGAAAATAGGGAGGGGTCACTGTCTCTCAGTCCCACCATAGGGACTGGCTCCCCATCCCTGGCCATTGAGCAGGGCTGGATGGCTGTGTGTGACAAAGCCCTGAGGACAAGAAGGGGACTTAGTGCAGGCATATTTGAACAATCAAAGCAGGACACGGGGCTCAGGACATGGGTCTGCCTTCGGACCAGTCAAATCCGGAAAGCTTTTCTTGCTCCAAACAAACAGCTCCTACCACTGTCCCCAGCACGCAAAGCTACCAGAGTAATGCAGGCAGATGACACCCAGAGCTCACCGCAATCTGAGCAGGGATGGAGGACCAGACTGACCATTCCAGCCAGACTCCAGCCCATGCTCTCAGCTCCCCGGCCTCCCTTGACCTCCTAGCGGTTTGCTGGCTCTCGGCTGTGTGTCCCAATCAAGAATTGAGAGGACAGAACACCCTTCCTCCTCAGCATAGCCTTGTTCCTGCCCTCCTATTCATCTCCCTCATTTCCCTCCACCTCCCTTCTTGGTCTGCCTTCCCGCGCCAAGTCCTCAACAAGCTTGGGGACGCGGGGGCTCCAAGGCAAGGTTTTGCTTCTCTCTGTTGAGCACTGAGGAAGGCAAAAGGCTGGCCAAGGGTCTATGGAGGGAAAGGCGCTAAGTGGCACACCAGTGAATGTGGCATGTATGTCAGTGTGTGCTTGCACACTGTGTGTACCTGCCCAGAGGGGCCAAGGGAATCCTGGCAGCGCCACTGGCTCACCAGGCGGCAGTCTAGCGCTTACATGTGTACACCAGCTCCTGCCGTGCACACTGCTGACACTCCACGTAGCAGCACCACTGCACCTGGCAGTGGCAGGAGAAGGCCACCAGGCGGCTCTGAGTGTTGTAGCCCCGCCCGCAGCACAGGCTGCTGCAGCTGGCCTCCCGGGAGCACACTCTGCCTGCTGTGCCCGGAGAGTATTTGCTGGGCCGGCAGAAGCTGGGGGAGTCCTCCATGTAGACCAGGTCCCCAGGCCGGGGTGTTAGGCCTTTAGTGGGGCCGCCTGGCTTGGCATGTGCCCATAGCTCCAGGCGGCCCAAGGCCTCATTGGTGGCACTAGACACCTTGACAGCTGAGTCGTAGCGTAGCTTCAGCACCTGGCCGGTCTCTCGGAATGGGGAGAGCTGCTTCCAGCAGGTCCGCACAGCACAGGAGCCCGACACACCGTGGCACTTACAGGTGGTCCTGAGGCCACTCTTCACGGCCTGCAAAGAGAGGCAAAGTGGAGGCCTGGTCAGAGGCCTGGGGCCCAGCAGCTCAAGCCTGCTGCAGTGTGCCAACCCTGGCAGAGTGTCAGGAGGATTAGAAGAAGACTAAAAGGTTCATGTGAGGGGAACCCAAGCCTGCCCATGAGGTACCATCTGGCTGTCTGGTAAAAGACTCTCTTCCTCTAGTCAGGGTACACCTTGGCCCAGAGTTCTTGTAGAGTACACAGCCTGCACAGCTGTACACAAAAGCCCTGGTTTACTCAACTCAGTGATGGGGATACAGAGCACAGGGTTCAGCTTCCTGAAGAACTGGAGCACTGGCTTCCTCTTGCCTTCTCATCCTGATCCACCTAGAGACTCATTACCCTCAGTTCTCCCAGGACTGTCGTGACCTTGGCTAAGTCTCTGTTCTGTGGGCCTCTTCTATCTTCCATCCATAAAATGGAGGGGTTGGGGGTGTAGCTTCACTAGATCAAAGCTGTGGAACAATGCTGGTTTTGTCCTTGGAATGGGGACTACTCTCCAAATATGTTTGTGCTTTACCAAACCCTGGTGTCACTGCTGCCCAGCCATTGGTGATATCTAGGACCCTTTCCTACTTGCACCTGGAAATGGTCCAGAGAACTTTGGTTAAAGAGACAAAATTGAAGCCAGGTGCTGGTGGCTCACACCTGTAATCCTAGCTACTCAGGAGGCAGAGATCAGGAGGATCATGGTTCGAAGCCAGCCCAGGCAAATAGTGCGTGAGACTCTATCTAAAAAAAAAAACCCTCACAAAAAATGGCTGGTGGAGTGGTTCAAGTGGTAAAATGCCTGCAAGTATGAGGCCCTGAGTTAAAACCCCATACTGTCAAAAAATAAAATAAAACAACCTGACTCTGCACCCTGCCTAGGGGGTGGCACTTTGGGCAGCTGAGAACATGCTCACCTTGATGCCCACGTGGGTGTTGTGGGCATCAGTCCGTGCTCGCAGGTCCTTGCTTCCTCTCTTGGGCCCCAGGAAGTTGCTCAGGAACTTGGTGCTGTATTTGAGGTTGTCGCCACACACACCCCACTGCCAGGCCTGCCGGCTCTCCAGGCCTGGGGAGTCATCACACGTGCAGCGCTCCATGCGCCCTGCACTGCAGGCCCGGGCCAGCGCATGTGTGAGGGCAGCCGAGGACACCGCATACAGGAAGGCTGTCTCCTTGAAACCTGTGTGGGACACCAGACAGGGATGGTGGCAGGGATAAGGACAAGAAATTCAGAGGCTGCCTGCTACCCTCTAAAGGTAGGAGGGTGGAGGGGCACTGTGGTGAGCAGGACGGGAGATTGTGAGCCCTAGGACATAGCTTTGAGCAAGTGTGCCTGAAACCTGTCCCTTGGACTCTGGCTATAGGTTGCCATTTAAATGTAATATTCCAGATTCACTATGGAGTGAATACCCAGGTCCCCAGAGGACACAGGACAGAGCTCATTGACTCCAGTCCCAGATAAGAATGCTGTGATGTGAGGAGAAATGACTTGGGTGCCTGGACAGGGCCAAACTGGGGCTACATAGCCACCCCAACTCTAAGTACACATGTGACAAGTTGGGTCAACCCATTTACAAAGCCCCAAGCACCTGAGATCGGCCCCATGGGTATTGTGATGACTCTCAAACGTCACTCTCTGCTACCTACTACAGAATTGATCCCATGACAGAGTGGCCTTGGGTCTCCTGCCTGACTTGTGGCAACCTGAGTACACTACTCACTGCCAGGACTATCGGCACCCTCATCTCTTGGTGGGGGGCCCAAACCTGGTGTCCCACAGGCTCACTGTCACCAACTTCTTTCCCAATGTGACTGGGGTGCTGGCAATGCCTCAAGAGAGAGGGAAACAGGCCGCTAGCTCTGCCCCAGACCTTCTCCTGCTATGGAGAGCAGCTGACCCTCCCTGTAACCACCACTGCATTTTTTTAAAAGTCTCCATGATAGCCTCTCCCCTTGGCAATACAGTCTCATGATGACCAGTTTCTTCCCTGAAGGCTATGTGTTTTCCAAGGGCAAATCTAGCACGGTGACGTGGCTCACTGTGAGCCTCCACAGATACTTGGCAGATGGAATGGGGGAGGATGATGAGGAAGAGGGGGGCGTGGATGATGAGGAAGAGGGGGGGAATAGGGTGAGAATGGAAGGGACGGAAGGAATAACACATCAATGGATGTGATGAACGAAGACGAGTGAATGGACAAATGAATCAACCTGCCTCAGGCATTCAGGACTGTCATTTACTGCCTCTGTGCTTGTATGGTCCTGCATATTATATGGTCACATGGGTGTGGAGGAGGCACAGGGAGGTGCCCCCTGCCTCATCTGTAGGTTCCTCCAGGAATGGCTTTGTGTTCCCTCCTCTCTTGTCTTCCTTGATCCTCTGCTCCCCTAAGCCTGAGGCAGGGTCACAACTGGTCTTCAAGAAACTCTCTCTAACTCCCCCAGGGCTCTTCTCCATTAGGGCTATACCTAGGTAGCCAAGGTAGCATGGCCTGGGCACAGCCCTCCCCCACCCAACCCTCCTCTTCCCTCCTAGTCCTCTTCCTCCCTCCCAATTCTTCTCCGGCCTCTCCCCTCCCTCAGTGCTCCCCCTCACCTCTCTTGAGCAGCCCAGTCCTCCCTTCCAAGCTGCAGTTCCAGCGCTCCTGCAGGAACTGGAATTGGCACTCAAGCAGGCCGAGGTGTGCAGCATCGCGCAGGGTCTCTGCCAGGCCAGGCTCCCGCCGGCAGAGCTGCTTCTGGCGGCGGGTCAACTTCAGCAGGTCACACTGCTTCAGGTGGGCACCACCCTGGGCTGGGACCACTGCAGTGCCCAGGCCTGGAAAGGGTGTCAGGACCTCCCGCCCGGTCAGGCTGGAAAGAGCAAGAAGGGAGCTGGTGAGCCTTGGGGTCATGATGGGGAGGATGAAAGATGACCATCTCTGAGGAGGTGAGGAAGTGAAGAGCACTTCACTTATTGCTCTTGGGTCAGAAGGCCAGTCCCACTGGGGTATGTCCCCATTTTCCAAGGTACTTGTAACAAGGATTGGTACCGAACCTCAGATCCAAGTATTCCAGATTCTAGTTTCTGCTTTTCTTCCCAAACTTGCCCAGTTAGAAATACCACCTGAGGTGCTTATTAAAAGTTCACATTCCCAGGACCCATACTTGGCAATTCGGATTCTTTTGCTCTGGAGCGGGGCCTGAGAATCTGTATATTTGCCACATTTCCTGGGAACTGCTATGGTAGGGGAAGTTTGAGAAATATTGCATGTAGCCTTGGTCACTGCCTAAAGGGGACAGTCACCTTCCCTTTCTCACAAGGGGGTGAGCACATTAGCTGGGGATGTGGGGCAAACACCCAGCCAAGGTCCCCAGTTCCCTTTCTCCCTTGCATTATGTCACTGCCCATGTAAGTCATGCCAATCTACTTTGTTTCCTGATCCTAGGTAGATCATTGACCATCTGGTGTCTGGTACAAATAGATCCTTGAGGAATGGAACGAAGGAAGGAAAGAAGGAGGGAAGGAGAGAAGGAAGATCAGATTGACAGATGGTAGGATGGAGGTGAATCCCAGTATTCTTGCTCTAGATTCAAAGTCATAGATCCTGGAGTCAGGCTGCCAAATCCTAAGTGTGACGCTGCTGCTTCTTAGCTGGGTAACCTGAGAGTGATCCTCCCTCCCTCCAGGGTTGCTGCTAGGATTACAGAGGATTACACGAAGAGTATGAAGCACAGTGACCGGCCAGGCAGGCTTGCCTTCCTGCTGCCTGGAGTTCTCCAAACTTCTCTCCTCATGCAATGTGCCTCGCCCTCTAACTTTCCCAGATGAGGAATCGGAGGTTTTATGAGGAGGTGGTGACTGGCTCAGGGGTAGTACCACTGCAACAGCAAGGTGGGATGTAGAATTGGGGCTCACCTTCTCACCTCGCAGAAGCTCTATGTGACTTGGTGCTACTAGTTCAAGATGTTTGCTGTCCCTATCCTGGGGACCCCCAGGATGGGTGGAATATACATCCTTCCAGGAGCCAGGTTGGAAGAACATGCCAGCCTCATAGTCAGGGTACAAGAGCAAAAGTGGAACCAAATAGTGGCTCCTAAAACTCTCACTGGATGTGGCACTTTCTACCTTTGCTCATATGCCACAGGCCAAGGGAAGCTCTGAGCAGTCAGAGAGGCCCTCTCTTACTGAGTCAAGGGCATGGCTCTGTATCTGAAGTCACCTGCTTTGGCCAGGACATTTGGCTGGATGCCATACCCTCTGTCTGCCTAGGGAGTAGGAAGCCTCACTGGAGGGTGTAGGTCCTGGCTGGACCCCAGGTGCCCCCGTAGACTCCAAATCCATCAGGTGCGGCCAACCCAGCGTGGAGAATATCTCTGAAACCTCTGAGCAGAGACAGATGCTATCGGCTGCCCCTGGCCCAGCCTAGCCCTGGGCTCCCCTTCCAGACAGGGTGAGGGCAGGGGCCCGTTAATCATTAATCTGGGGGCAAATGGGTAAGTTTCCAGTCCACCAGACCTACACCCAAGTCATTCCCTGCAGTCTGGCAGGAAACTCTCAGAGCTTGACCCTTGGCAGGCCCAGAGCTGAGCCTGAGGTCAGTACAGCTGAGGAGGCCCCACCTTGGCTGGTTGTCAGCATGGAGGGCAGATTGGGGCTGCAGGGAGTAAAGGGGCAGCAGCCAGGTAACCCACCAAATATCCTCCTTCCCATATCAGGCGCTGGTGTGAGGGGCAATTTTTGCTCACACAATTCTGTGATTCAGAAATTGGAACTTTAACCAATGGGGCTAAAAATTATTCAAGGCTATATGAAATGCCATTTTAATAATAACAGCTATTACAATTCTATCATTATCTCCATATTATATGTCATGGTATATAATATGGATTAGTATATTATATTTATTCCTTGTGTTATACTATATTAGTATTCCTACCACTTTTTGAGTTGCTACTAAGCCTTTTAAGTTACTATTGTGGACACCTAATTGGGTTGGTTAACCTCCCATTTCTTCTGCCTACATAGTTGCCATGTGATTCCTATTGGCCATTGTATATCATATGACCTTGCTGCTCTGGTCTGCTGGTTGGATAAATGATGATCACATAACTCAAGCTGGGCCACTTAGTCATTTCTCTGGGAATTTGGAATTTGAATTAAGAGAGCATGCAGTTGCTTTCTTTCTCTTTTTCTCTTTGGATTACTGGGCCTGTGACATAGAGGATACACAGAGGAGGCGAATGAGCCAAAAGCTGGCCTCACTGGGACACATCAGTGACCCCAGTACTCAGGAGACTGAGGCAGGAGGATCATGATTCAATGCAGCCTGGATACATCAACAGAAGCAGAGTGGGAGGGAGAATTGGGGGAATATTTCAGGCCCTGGTTCCAGAGTCTTCCTGAGGGTCTTCTGTGTTCTAGCCTAAGACATCCCTGCACTGTAAGGGCTGAGAGTTGGTTTGTCTAACCAAGGTCATTGTCCTTTGTTGTAACCTTTTGCAAGCAATAGAGTACCAGGATTCCCTAGGCTACACTTGTGAGCCAGGCTCAGGAAACACCCTTCCACTCATCAACAGGCACCTGTTTTGTTTTGTTTTGTTTTAATTTCATGTAATAGACCCTGAGATTGATGGTTCCAGGAGTCCAGTATAAAGTCGGTTAATTTTATTAGCAGTAATGACACTTAGTAGTGATTAATGGTCAGGAAAGGCAGCCAACCATATAGAGGCCTCAGGCCCCAGTGGGCCCTGGTCTGCCTAAGAGCTGCTTGAAGGTTCCTTGGCACGGTCTTAGGGTCTCCACAGGGCCTAGGAGACAGTCTGGGAGGACTTCTAGGATGCAGTGTTCTTTTTATGTGTTTTCTGTGTCACAGTGTGGGATCATACTTCCTTCGAAGAAATTTTATCATGGCAGCAAATTGAGAAAAACGACTCAACTATTTCCTTAAATGGTGCTAATGAATTATCTGCATGCCCACCCCATGGCATCTGTGTGCTGCAGTTTCCAGCCCATTTGGTGGCTAGTAAGCAATATCAGTTTCCCATACCCCAGGCCTGAGAACCCCAACTTTCAGGCCCCTCAGCGAGATCCCAATCTCCCAAATGTTAGTGGAGCCTCACAGGGATAAGATGGACAACTGGAGAACTTCAAGTGAGTTTTGTTTGTCTTATGAATGCAGACACTCTGGTCAACCAGACACTCCCAGCTACTCAGGTACCTGTGACCAGGAAGTATAGAGCTCGCTAATAGGTCTTTCAAGGGGTGTTTGGGTGGGGGCACAGCAGTTCCTTAGGGCTGCTTGACTCCAGTGCTACTGAGCCTCCTGGGACCACCACCCTACTGAACTATACCTGTCTGGCACAGGGCTCCTGTAAACTAACTTCCAGCCTCTCTTTTCCCATTAAGAAAGCAGTTAGGTGGGTGCCAGTGGCTTATGCCTGTAATCTTAGCTAGGCAGAGATCAGGAGGATTACAGTTTGAAGCCAGCCTGGGCAAATGGTTCATAAGATCCTATCTTGAAAAAACCCATCAGAAAAAGGTCTGGCAGAATAACTCAAGGTGTAGGCCCTGAGTTCAAACCCCAGTACTGAAAAAAAAGAAAAAAAGAAAAAAGAAAGCAGCGACCCCAACTGGCCAGCTTCTTCTTCCTTATTTCCTTACTTCCAGGGTGTACCCGTGTGCATTCTGCACCTCACTCCATGGTCCCTAATGGTCAGGTTGGTCATAAGGCCAGAACTCCCCTCCCTCAAATGAGATGCTCTCTGGCTTTGACCCCAGGGCAAACCCAACCACTTCTATCCCAGCAGTGAGAGAAGCCAAAGAAACCCTTGAGACTTTATCTTAAGTACAACTCCCACCTTCTCTGTCCACTGCTGGTCCTCCTTGCCCCTCCCCCTTTCACACTCTCCCAATCCACAGATCTGGCTAAAGCTGCCCCAGCAGAATGGCCTTGGAGGATGTAGCCAAAGGCTCTCCCAGGCCTCTGGGGACCATCTGCTCTGTCCCCTGCCAGCAAGGCCCCAGGGCTCACCCAAAGCTAGAAATGAACTGGAGCTAGGGGCAGTCATGGTGGCTGAAGCCTATAATCCTAGCTACTTGGGAAGGTAAAACTGGGAGGATTGCTGTTTGAGGCCAGCCCAGGCAGAAAGCTGTGAGAGCTCATCGCAACCAATGGCTGTGTGCAGTGGCATGAGCTTGTCATTCCATCTATGTGGGGAAACATGAATAGGAAATTGAGGTCCAGGTAAGCCTGGGCAAAAAGAGAACTTATCTTAAAAAACAAAAACAAAAAATACCAAAAGAGCTGGCAGAGTGGCACAAGCAGCCTAGCAATCTTGAGGCCCTGAGTTCAACCCTAATACCACACACACACACACACACACACACACACACACACACCACACACACACAAAATGGAGCTTGCACTTCAATGATCACCCACTGTCTGCTGGAGTGTCATGGCCCTAAGATCTCATGTTCCCAAGGCTGTTGTGGCCTGGGTAGTCTGGTCTTCCTCTTACTCATAGGTGACCTCAGGGGTGTCACTCCATGAGCTCAATCCATCTAACAAATCCACATTGGCTACAGAGAGCATGCTAGGAGTCAGCCTGCTGGGATTCAAATCCACCTTCACTTCTTGCCAGCTGTACTAGGTTGCACAAGGCCCTTCATCTCTTGGTGCCTGTCAGTTCCATGCAATGGTAGTGGTAGCTATCTCACAGGGCTCTTTAGAGGACTACAATCAGCTAATGTCTGCGAAGCTCTTAGAACAGTTCCCTGGCACAGAGTAAGCTCCAGATAAGTGCTCATCATTACTAAGCACCTACTGTGTGCCAGGCCCTGTGCTGAGTGCAGGGACACAGTCCTGCTTCTAGGAGCTCATGGCCTAGAGGAAACAGCCTGAATTCAGGA